AAAAAAAAAAAAATAATAATAAATGCGAAACGAAACGATACGAAAAAACGCAGACGGCGACGATGCCGACGAACGTGACGGGAATGAGTACGTTGGCTGGCGGAGTGTCAGGAGTGCCGGCAGCTGCGATGCCCGGAGGACTTCAGAGCGCCGGTATGGCGAGCATCGAGCTCGGCAAGAAGCGGATGCGCGACTCCAATGATGATCTGCTAATGGTACCACGGCTTATGCATGAAGTACACTTTCCTTTTTTACGTAGCTGGACTCTGGCAAAGTGGCCTCGACATCTATTTTCGCGGCTGCTTCCGCAAGAGCCTTCGACGTGCGCATATCGTACGTTTTTCTAAATTTTTGCGATGTGAAAAAAAAACATAGACCAGCAAGAGATTTACAATGCAACAAAATAGGTTGACGATATTTCGAATGCATATCACGTGATACGCGAACGTCAGATATTGGCTGTGTCATTTATCATTAGTCGCTAGTTTATCATTAGTTTATCTAGTCACGATATGGATCAATTTTCAACATCGTTAATCAGGATGCAAGAAATTAATCCCTGGCAGTCATACAATCTCGTGCGCTAATCTTGTCGAATTTCCAACTGGTGTTGGCTCGTACTTGCTGATACTTGTACTCGATTCGCGAAACTTTGCAAATGGACAGGTTTAGACGGACATTCTACGTCGTAAATGTAATCGACCTTGCTTCTGCCAGCCTCGCGCTACAAGCTACGGAGTTTGTGTCGTGGTAAAGTTTAGGCGGCCGCGACGAAACGGTTTCCAGGCCATTTTCCAGAGATTCCACGTAGTCGTATCTTTAAGTTATGAGTACAGTTATTGCGATTGTGAATACACTGCCGAGCGCGCTTAGAGCTCTAGCTCCTGTCTTCCATTTTTTTTTATTTCTAACAAGAGTCCCGCTGTTTCTCTATCGAATCGAAAGAAAAAAACGGAAACGTTTTGATGAAACTTTACAGCGTGTAAACCTGACGATACGAGATGTCGCGTTTCTGGCAACATGGTGTTGTGATTGAAGCGTACTAGAATATCAATAACGTCGTATACGGCGCCATAACTGAAACCTCTACGAGCCTTGTATATGGTATCATTATTGAAACCCCTCTAATGTCGGTATCATCCTGTAGAATATTACTGTAGAAACCTTCACGATATCGTCACGTACGGCGCGATTACGATTGAAACCTTTGTGCTGCGACTGCTGATAAACAATCGCGATAACGAAATAAGAATTTGTCCGAAAACAAGTCTGTAATATTAGCAAAACGTCACTACGCGAGTGAACTCCTTTTTGTGGTTAAAAAGATTTTCCCAAAGTTACTTAGTACAAGTCGACACGAAAGGATTTGCAAGATGTTAAAGTTGTAACATTCCATTCTACTGTGATGCTTATATTTCAAATATTTAGTCTCGTATCGTTCTCGGGTTCTACACGATATATCGCATTCGATTTCTGTCCAAAGATAATCGCGTGAAAGATTCTAGAAACTATCTTTTTTTTTTTCTCTTGGTTTCGCTTTCCACTGTCGTTGCAATGTTGTTCGTATCAGAGCTTACGCCTCGTAATGTATTTATAGATCGCTTACTACTTTTTTTTTTTAATCGCTAGCCACGTGCCTATGTTGTTACCAATATTAAAGAGATCCCTCTCTATAAGGGGGGGGTGCACAAAGTGCATATTCCGAAAAAAGTTTTATCCATGCGGAGGAACATTAAGCGTGGCTAGCGAGTATATGATTTAACATACATTTACCCCTTGGCGATTCCCTCGACCAATGAAATTGGCGGATCCGCGATCGCGTGAAAGGAGTACACTTTTCATCGCGATTGTCATCCGCTCGTTGGTCGCGCTTACATTTCGAGACACGCACGCACTGTTGAAACACTTAAGGAAAATTTCAATTAGATCGCAAATGATATACTTCTAGATACTTCAAGTCTATCTTTAATCCTTTAATGTTCGACAAAAACCATACGATCGCGATGTGCGTTATCTCTCTCTCTCTATTTCCTTATCATACTTTATGCGAGGGTGCGAATAGTGGCTTTCTTATATTAATATACTCTTTGTATCGTGGATAATTGATTACTTGTTTCAACAAAAAATATTTGCCCGAGAACACTTAACCGCCAGAATTATGTTGGTATTTGGGGAAAAAAAAAAAAAAAAAAAAAATGAATTGCTCAGCAATTGAAAAGTCTTGAAAGGAGTAAAGAACTGGAGATCTCTCAACGTTAAAGGATTAATAAAATGGAATAGAATTCTTGCGAATGTAAAGGAATCGCGAATATCGATGCGGAAGTGCGCGCGTGTTTTGATGCGAGCTCGGTAAGGAAACCGTCGACTCTAATCTCCGTATGTCAGGACCCCCTCACGAAACGAAAAAACGGTAAAGAGAGTAAAGAGGGCGAGTCGTGAGGCCCTAAAAGGCTCGCACTTTCGCGGTATGCTATCTGAATCCTGCATACCGCGGTGCTGCGTCTACGGAGCGTTAGATCTGTGTAAATTCTGAGCTTGCGCCGATGATGCATGTTGTGCTTAAGCGACTATCGAGGTGATGGTGGACGTAACGTCATCCCCTCGACGCTCTGGACGATGACCGAAGTTTTGGCAGCTCTTGTCGCGGAGGATCGTCGAGCGGGCCCTCATCGTCGTGACGCGTTTCGAAATTTGCCGTCCGCGTGACGGCTTTTCCTAGCCTTCGTTAGAGTCACGTCGAGTCTGCTAAAGAGCACTGTAGATCGCTTACA